GATGGGGTGGGGGGCAGAGGCGGTTGCGAACGAATAATACTAAGTGATGTAATTATAATTTATTTTATATTGGAATATAAGAGACACGTGAAACTTGAAATCCAACCGCAGTCAGTTTTCTGTTGTGTATGCGTGTGTACTGTGCGTGTGGTGTTCGACGCTCGATCTGCGGCCCGGTCGCTCGACGTTTACGGCACTTTTAATACACCTCGGATACGAATGATTCTTTTCGACTGTTCCTTTGCGTTTCGACACGGCGTACTCCGTCACCTGTAGATAACACACGCACGGGACGCTCCGTGACGCGCAGATTGAGCGTCGACGTTTGTCACCTCGTCGCGAGACGTTACGGGCCACGCGACACCGCCCGTGGAACGACGGCCCGAGCGAAACGAATTTCGGATATCCGCGGACCTCTATCGTTTAACCGTGATCCCACCCCGTTTATCGTTGCCCGACTCTGTCTCTCTATCGCCCCCCGATTGTGTTCAAAGCTTTGGTGTTCGTCGTAGGAAATAAGCGTCCGTCGATTCGCGCGAAGGTCAACGACCAGTTCGCTGACCACTCTTCCTCTCGAAGCTTGGTTCCGGCGAGGAGAGTCGTCCGCCGGGCGAATCGTGCACCACCACGGGCCACCGTGCTGTCAGCGGTAATTAGCTTTTTTACCGGCTCGGGACGGGCCACGCGACCGATTGTGTTTTTCAAATTAGTCGAATTTCCGCGACGCTGCAAGCTCTCTCTTTCTCTGTGTATACGTGTGCGCGCTGCGCGCTTGGGGACGCCGCGGAATCAAGCTTCCGAAGAGCACTCGAAATTCTCTTTGACGAAAGGTTTATCCGTTGTTCGCCGTTTTTTCGAGGAAATCGAGCGATGTTGATTGGTCCGTGTCAGTCGTGCGTGCGCGTGTGTGTAGGAGGACTGCCTGGAAAGTGTCCGACACTGCAATTTTCTTCCTGCGATCCTTCCACTTATGGAAACACTCCTCAGAATCATCTTGGATCGTATTTCATTATATTCGCTCGGCGTCTGAATCGTTTCGATTTCGGAGAACAACCGGAAGTCGCAGGTGCCTGGACCACGGAGGCTGCCAGAGTTGCGAGACGCCGTGTTTCACCAGGAATCGTTGAACAGTTCGCGACGCACGGACGGTTCACTGCTTGACACGTTGACCACGTGAATCTCGATAATTTGATGCGTCGTTCATTATTTCATGGTAATGGTAGATTATTAACTCAGGGGCAGCATCACTTTCCAGACGTTCCTCGTATGCATACGCGACGCGCGCGACAAAGATATTCAGAAGGAGAGAGGATGGAAAACGTTGAACTGTAGATATAATCATGGTTGGGATCCGCTTGTCAAGGTTCCCGAACGTTTTGTATACTTCCTGTCGAGCGGAGAACGATCGAAGGTACTTTTCATTTACGAGCGCAAACAATAAAACCGATCATTTGAGAAACGAAACACCGAACAGAAGGAACAGACAACAGAAACATAAGATAGGTCAATGCGCGTGCGAGGGAGAGAGGGAGAGAGAGAGAGTGTGTGTGTGAGAGAGAGAGGGAGAGAGAGAGAGAGAGAGAGAAGAATTCGATCCTGCGAAACAAATTCGATGTTGTATATTTTTACAAGGGAAACTTAGATCGATCGCGAAAATAAATGAAGAACGTTGACGTTTGATAATGGGTGTCGAAGACAGTGCTTTCTTGGTGAAAGTATTCGTATATAAATGAAGAAAAAATGAAGAATGTTTATTAATGCCAAGTTTTAAATAACGTGTTAGATATTCGACGACGAGGAGGAGGGTAGCGACGATTTATAGGGGAAGAAGGGAGATAAGACTAGAGGAAAGAAAACGAATACGAGAGAAAATAACACGTTGATAAAGACTGCTATCTATAGTCGTTAAAAGACGCGTCTTGTAATGGACACCGTTAACCCCTTAACGGTCCCGTTTGACACAGAGTTTGTCTTTTGTAGCAAAGGAAAGCAGGAACGATTATGAATTGTTCGGCGTTGCAACGTTTGCGTTACACTATTATCAACTTTGTTAAACATTTTTATTTCACATCGGTTGTCTTGTATGTTACTGGTTTTTAGTCGTTCAGAAGCGTCAGTCACCAGTGACTGACACGGCGCTTAACGTGTTAAGGGGTTAACGCCGGGATTCCCCGAAGAAAAGTGTTTTCTTCCGGGACACGCTGCTAGGCTTCTATGCACGTTGCATATTTCGTTTTCGAACTGTACAGGAATTGATATCGTCGAGGTTAACCGATTTACCGAAGAAGCTTCTACCTTCGAAGCGACGAGTCCGCGCTCAAGCGTGTTATGTATTCCCTTCGCCCTCTCCTATCCGCGAAGAGACCACGCGGACTCGCGCGCGTGTTCCCCGGTCACGCGTGATGAGAATCGATCCGCGACATCAACCGACTGGTCGAGCGGGAGTTTCGAACTTGATTCGGGAAAACGATCGAACGCGAGAAACCAATTGTCACGCTCCTTTTTTCACCTTTTTTCATCGCGTCCACACTCGCGCGAGCATCGTGGCTCTATCGAACCCTTCGCTCCTTTCCAATTGTTTCTACGACTGCATTTTGGTAGCACGCCGAACCTCCGTTATCCGAACCGCCAGCAGCTAGTCCGTGATAATTTAGATGAAGGAATTCGAATTTCTCTTCGGTGCTTGCCACGTGTCGTGACGCTTCCATTCAATTTCCTTTTTGATATATCGACACTGGAACTACCGAGCTAATACGATTAATATGTGATCTACATAGACATTGTAACAATAGATTCTCAGTTTCTCCGGGCATTCTGTATAGTATTGAAATGAAACTATTCATTTTTAAGATCATTTCAAACATTGAATGCTAAAATACCGATAACGAAACAAATCTAAACCAGTTCGACTGGTACGGTAGTTCTAGTGTTAATATTTGAAGACGCTCGCAATTATTCCAAGGCTATCCACTGCTAATTCAATAGTTCTAGAACTACCTTCCAGCTACCGAATTCCATTGCGTTACATGGTTAGCGAGTAGCGCTACGCTTTGCGATCGGTTCCGATCGGAATAAGATAAGTTCTTAACACGTTGATCGCCGTGGAAAGATTGGCTGATTTGTATGGCGATTTGGTGGCAAAGATATGAATCGACGCTTCAACGTGTAACGAGAACGATCGAGCTGGCTGTTCGGACAACGGAGGTCCTCGGTAACGACGGTGCGCGCACTCTGCACACCCACCTCCGCGGAAAATACCTTCTAGCGTTTAAGGGACAAAGCAATCTCGCACCTGTTAAAGTCTCGCAAAGGATACTCAAGTTGCGCCCTGGCGAACGGCGAAAGTTGCCGGAAATGGAGGAGAATCGGAGAAAAAGAGAGAACACGCCGTACAAGAATTCTGTCGATCCGCAGCCCGTGTCTGTCAGTGAGGACAATAATCCACGTCGACGTCGGGAGAACGTTTCGTAGAAGATTCTAGATGTTCGTAACGTTTCGACTCGTTTGTACAAAAACAAGAAAAAAAGCACACACACACACAGTTCCCGCCGTTTTCTCGTCACGATCGAAGAACCGAAGCCGTTTCGATTTCCGATGCGGTGTAAAGAATGAAAACAGACGAACAAACAAAAAAAAAATGGTAAAAACGACGAAGAAATTGAACGAAAAAAGGCTGCTTCTCGATGTACAAC